TGCTGTCGTTGTCGCTCACAAAGAGAAAGAGCGTGAGCGAGAGAGAGTTGTGTGTGTGTGTATGTGTGTGTCTGTGTGGACTAATACCTAAAAACGTGGATGAAACCCGCTTTTCTATACTACTCGTTTGAGATTCGGACATAGTTTGAGAAAATGTTCATTGAAATCATCATCAATGTTACATCGTTTCAATTTCACAAATTCAACCGTTTCAAGAATGGGTTTGATGCACTTCACCTTGTTTGATGAGAGATGCCAGTCGGCAAACTCAATCTGTTTGAATGTGGCACTTCGAAGGGATTTGTCATTCTGGAAAGGCAGCAAACGGTCACAAAAATCATCAATCGATATGCGCTGGTAAAATTGCCGGAATTCATGGATTTTTTGCAAATTATTCGCATCCAACACACTTGTTGGGAATCTCTTCTGGAAGTAGTGGCCGGCTGCTTGCATTGCCCATTTGCACGTTGAACCAAATGATATCAAATCTTTTTCAGACAGCAAGTCGAATATTTCGCAATAGCAAAGATAGTTTAGCATGCCAATGGGTGGTATGATCGATTTTTTGATTTTCTCGGACAGTCACTTTGTGGCTCCACTTTTTGCCGTTTGGACCACCGTGTGTTGTAACGATGTGGTCGTTTTCGCGTGTTATCCATTGTTGACTGTGGGTCGGCTTGTTTGATGACACTTCTGTGGTTCTATGTTCGCTGGTTTTGTTGCAGTGAGATCGTATAATTTTGCTTTCGCCTAAAATGTATTGAAGAACACAATGAACGCGACAGTATTTTCTGCGTAACAGAATGAATCTCGGCAAAAATTCGATTAGCCAATGGAAATTTTCCATTAAAAATCAACCTTACCTACGAAAAATCAATCCAATTGGGATTGCTCTAATGAGATTGTTGCTGCGCAATGAGAACGGGAGCGATGTTTGACGTTTGATGTGCATCGGTATGAAGTTGGTCGAAATAACAGTTCATGGGCTTTGATATAAAGTTGTTTGTTTTTTTTTTTCTCACACTGGAGACTTTTCCCCAGCTACGGTTTTGCTTACGACCAATTCACATTGAAATACAAATGTTCAACCAAGATTGTGTTGAATTCCGTGCGATTTAAATAATTTTCAGACAATTTTCAACCTAAAATGTTCAGAGTTCCGGTTTATTGTCTTTCGATTGGAGAGTGCTGGTCACATTTCAACTGGCATACATTTGGGCGATATTCAAGTGGCCCATCGTTTTTGCTGTCGGCGCAAGAAAAATTATGGCAAATGTTGCTTTGAAAAAGCAAGTATAATGCCGAAGCAGAGCAATTCAGTTGGCCGATAACTAACTCCTATCGAAAAAACTCAAAATAGAGCTCAAAACTACAATAGAAAAAATGCAATAGAGCAAAGCATATCACTTAAAGAATAATTCACTTATTTAATAAAATTTTCAAAATTAAATCCACAAAAAAAATTCAGAAGGTGTAGAAAAAAGAGCCCCATTAAAAAAATGTTCATTAGAATTTCTCGACTTTTCCCTTAAGGATTTTGACAGCTTCGATGGGACGATCGTTCTTATCCGTTTCCACCATTCCAATCCGTTTCACAATTTGCATTCCACTGTGGATGCGTCCAAAAATTGCATGCTTTCCATCAAGCCACTGTGTTGGTCCCAATGTAATGAAGAACTGTGAACCATTTGTGTCTGGGCCAGAATTGGCCATTGACAATATACCAGCGCCGGTGTGTTTAAGATCGGGATGAATTTCATCGGAGAATGTATGACCATAAATTGATCCACCACCACGACCAGTTCCAGCTGAAAAATACGAGTTTATTAGTACAGTTGCCACAATTTCTGGTTGGACAGGAATTGTTCAATTAAGAATATGTTGAATTTGAAATTTTCTTCATTTTTCAGATGATTTTTTTCCCATTCAAAAACACTGGTTTTTTCGCCGTTTCTCATTCTCTTCTTCCTTTGATGTTTTTACTTTTTTCTTTAGATTTTTTACTGATATTTTTCTTTTTCAATTGTGAAAAACTCTGTTTTTGATGGACTGTTGTTCAAAAAAAAAAAAAGAAATTGAATCAAACTCGGTCAACTTACTTGGATCGCCGCCTTGTATCATGAAATTGCTAATGATCCGATGGAAAATGGTATTGTTGTAGTAGCCTCTACGAACCTAATCGGAACAAAAAATATTGAATACATCGTGGGCATTTGATGGGATTTTCAAAAGTGAGAAAAATTACAAAATTTTTACGAACCAATTCAGCAAAGTTGCGACATGTGTTTGGTGCATGCTTCCAATACAGCTCAATCGTTATTTCGCCTTGGCTGGGGAGAAAAAAATATGTTCATAATTTAGATTTCACGTCAAAGTTTCGACTTTTTATCAATCGAACATCGAGTACCGATTACGACTGAATTAGTTAAACTAATTCAAACGATGGATGGATTCCATCCGATATAAACAATCGATTCCATATCAATTCAGAAAGAAACATTGAAACACTGTGCATTGAAACATCGACCACCACAAAAGTGCGGTTATGCCAACACACAAAAACACCACAAATTACTTACGAAGTTTCTAAAACGACGAAATTCGGTTGCCAGGCCCTGTCTGGGATTCCATTGGTATTTGTATTTGCCGTTGTTGCAGCCAACATTTTTGATTTTACCTTAAAAAAAACTTTTTCCTTCGAATTTATTCCAAGTTTCTTTATGAGTCGTCGTCGACACCGCTAAATGTTGTTTGTATTGCTTTGGTTGCGGCTGTCACTTTTGAACACAATGACACATTTGTCTAATACTTTTCAATGCTGCAGATATGTTGAGTATGGTTGCGTTAGGTACACATTCGTTTGGATAAAGTATTGCCTTGTTCCAAGTACTTTATCAGACATTGCGAATGCAAGAAATCGATTTTTTCTTTCTGATTAAATGAATTATGTAATTTTCTTTTGTTTTGAAATTATTTTTTCTCTTTGATGGCTTCAATGATGTTCATTGAACAATATGTTGCTCTTATTTAAGAAATGTTCGCAAATTTTTACCGAAATTGGTTTAATCCAAAATTATTGTACGGTGAAAATCAACGAATCAAACATTTTTGTACTCTTTTCAATGATGAAGAACTTGATATTGATTATTTTTCATGGAAATCAAAGACGGGAAAACATGCAATTCAGAGTATTGCCCACTAATTCAATCATTCAATGATGAACTCTTCATCAATCATTCAACAGTTGAATTGATTAAATGGGAAATTTGTTTCAATGTTTATGATTCAAGTTAGCTCCTGAAAGTCGGCAATTGTTCAAAGTTTATAGTTACCCACGGTTTTGGATTTGGCTATCCAATATATATTTGAATCAGTGAAAGATCACGCCGATTTATTTTTGATTGAAACTTGTCAGTAACACTGATTTAAATTGAATCTTCTACACGTTTTTCGGTAAATCTTTCTAAATATCTTCAGAAGAACGACTTTTGTGGAGAAAGAATGATTAAAATTTTTGGGCAAAAGAGGCAAATGATTCGAAAAATGTGGTAGAAGAGAAGAATAACCAAGGCAGTTAAAATCAAAACGAAAACATTCAGAAGAACAATTGAAACGGCTTTATTTTCAGTGTAAAAAATGTTTATTCAATCAAAATATAGACAATTGTTATGCAAAGATTTAAAACTAAAGGCTTTAGTCAAAAGCCTTTTCACTCTTTGTTGAAATCTCGTAAAGAACCTTCTCCAACTTTACACTATCTTCACTTCAATCGAAGTGTGTATGAAAATAATGTAGAAAAACTTCTAAGAGATGGGTTTTTGTTTTGATTTGAAAAAAATAACATAGCTTCAAAACACAATCTTCAAAGTCCATGATATGTGCCATTGATCCACTGCAAATCCCAAAGTCACTTTCTTGTGATGTAAAGCGACAAGCAATTTTCCTCAAGAAGAAGCCCGTAGTTAATGTGGGAAAAAAAAATTCTTGGTTCATATTAAAAAATTGAACTCATTGCACAAACTGGTTCGAGCACCAAAATTCGAAAACATTGCTGACTGAACACATTAGAATGTCCATTATTATGTTGTGATGGACTCAGTTAGATTGCTTTTGATTGTTTTGTTTGGTTTGGTATAAAATAGAAAAACCCCAAATATTTCAAGTCATACAAAGCGTTATTATTGCAGCACACACACAATTCATGAACTATTCATTCATTATCGTTGCGTTGACTTTATCCATGTCCAACGCTCAATTCATTCACGTAGTCATTTTTGATTCGTCGTGATTGTCTGACGCCGAATGGATGTGCGACCGATTTGTTCACTTCGACCACTGGCTTCAATTTATCGGCTTCCGTATTGAAATTCGGCGACGGATAAAATTTCACGCGCTCAACTTTGGCCTTTTCATTCGATTTGTTCAGAATGGATTTCGGCGGCAGTGCTAGTGGATCGTCACCGAAAACTGATCGATATGATTTTGTTCTTACAATGAAAATAGCGTGAAACAAACTAAAAACACATCCCCAGAGATAGAGCAGGACAACTGGAAAATTGGAAAATATGGTTTTGATGACTGATTTGAACAATTTTAGGCTTAATTGAAATGATTCGAAAATAAAACGTTTTGATTCAAAGCAAAAGTCTTGAAAATTAATGCAAAAATAAAAACAAAAACAAAAATTAACGTCTCATTTTCATAACATTAAGTAAATAAAAATCGATTTCGATGCACATTGCACAAGAAAATAAAATCCAACGTACACATTACAAATGACAACAAGATCGCGTACATGATCAACACGCCCAAATTAACCGCTCTTTTTATTGTGATCAACACAATACAAAACAGCCAACAAGTAAGACTCAGTCTGATCACATCGATTATAATGTACGGCAACAACAGCCATGGATTCATCTAACGGGGAATAAGAATGAAAAATTGATTATTTTTTCGAAAAGAAAAAAAGAGAATGAAAACAAGACCGCAGAGCTTCGCTTCGCTCCGCTCTGCGTTCTTGAGTTTTTAGTTACTTAATCTATTTTGTTGTTTCACAACAAACTATTTTTTGGCGCACTACATGAAATGTATTTCATCAAAGTAACTTTGAAATAATATATAAGAAACAAATAAAATGTATGATAAAATATAGTTTGGAAAAATAAAAAAATTGTATGTCAATCTTTTATGTATATAAGTGTTATATATTAAATCTTCATTAGTGCACCGGTTTTAAATCAAATAAAGAATATGAGCATATAATTCAAATTCACCAACATTTGTTTGAGTAGTCAAACTTGACCGAGAAAAAAAAACAGATTAGAAGCTCTACATTTCATGTAGTGCTAAAAAGTGAAGAGTTGAAATCAAGATAATTTGATTTTAGTCGATCGACATGGGAAAATGGAATGGGGATTTGATGAATTAATAAAATTCGTTTTTTTATTGCCTTGAAATAATTGAAATGAAAAAAAGTTTAAATAAATGAATAATTTTAAACCAATTAAAATTAAGTGATATGAGTTTTCTTATCCTTCACAATCAGCAATGAACAAATGTACAATAGTAGTATAGTGGATACATTGATGATACGGTTGATGTCAATGAATGAGTTATATTTTGAACTCACGAAATACGCTCCAATTACATCCAACACGCATGCCACCAAAAACGAACCATGAACGCTTAACATCGTTATGTGATACGAGTCCTTGTCTACAATGAGAATTCATTTGGAAACAAAATGAAAAAAAAAACAAATCAAGGAAGTCTTTAAATTAATTGGTAAATTTACGTGGAAAAACAATTTTCGGCCACGGAAAGCGAATGAACATTGTGCAATAAACAACCGGAAAGAAAAATTAAGAGCAAAAATTGGAAAATAGAAGAAAAATCAAAGAAAAAAATGATTTTGAACAATTTCAGATTTTCATTTGAACAACGAGAACAATTGCGGGAATAAGCAAAATGAACACGAAAAAGTTGTGATTTATTCGAAAGAAAAATAAGAATTATTAGAAAAAAATCATATGAAGAAAAATGGATTAAAAAAACTAAATAATCAAATGATTCTGGACAGAATAGGAGAAAAAAATCAATTCAAAACATAAAAAAATGTCATTTTTCTTACTGTCATCCATATCCCGAAATGCCTCTAAATAGCTTCTATCTAGATCGTTTTTTTCGATGAAACGCACCATAGTTTTGGAGAGTCTGCTAAACCAATCGGGGCCCTCTAACGCTAGTATTGTGCCATAAATTGTTACTTCAATCTGAAAATGTCGAGACAAATTCGTATTTTTTTTTCCTTGAAACACAAAAAAGAATGAAAAGTAAGTTCGTACAAATGAAACAACTCCAACAACCATAGACCCAAGTCGAACGGAACAATACGAACAGAAGTCACTGAATAAGGGCATTGTTTCAAGGTTAAATCACAACCAACAGAATTATATTTGTTTTCCATCGAACGTCTATTTTCCTAGGCTAACCAATTTCAACTGAATCAACACTTTTTAGTTCATAATACATTAGGCAAATATTTGGTTGGAATCAATTAACTGATAAACCCACCTCATTCATTCCCTTTTAATGTTCAATGCATTGATTCGGTTCATTCGTGAGATAACGATCGGAAAATCTGTGAAGTTGGCGAGTAATCGATATGTTTGAACATTGAATCGAATCATAGTATTAGTGGAATAGAGCCATTACCACACTACATTGTATTATGTTATACGGTTCCACCGAACGGTTGACGAATGTAGTAGTTTTCCGTCGAAAAATGGCCTTCCCATACAGGGAATGCCATTAATAATTACGTACACGTGTAGTCCATGTCGTGTACCTTCAAATTGAGGAAATGCATTAAATGGATTTGTCCGGATTTGTCCGGATTTGTCCAGATTTTTCAATGTAAACATTCAATCTAAGGTTGAAAATCTGGTTTCATACAACATTTTATGCAATAAAAGCACTAATTTGCCACGTTCCACATAAGTGGATTTATGACTCATGTTTCAAATATATAATCATTGCAATGATGGCTCATGTGCATATCTCTCCTTCATTCGTATTGGGTATGAAACAAAGTAGAATCAAATGAAAAAGAAGAAAATGAATGAAACGATTATCGGTTTCAAATCATCTAATTTCATTAATGATGATACGAATCTTGTGATTAATCGACATGTCGACCAATGAACTCGTTTCTCCCTCTTTTCATCCACAACAAACTTATTTTCTTCTTTTTTTAAAATTATTTTACAAGCAAAAATTCTTCTTGAATGCTTATTTTTGTTGTAAGAATATACCCGTCGAAAAAATGCCCTAAAAAATTCCAAATAAAAAGAGTCGATTTTAAAAATGATTTAATAACTTTATTCAAAAACAATTTCATAAAAAAAATTCCATTAGCTTTCAAAGACTTGAATGAGTTTTTACATCATTTAATACCGAAATCTACGTATGTATCAAAGTATGCTTCCATAAAATAAATATCAATGACGATTGAATTGGACAGTTAAAAGTCTACGAAGGTGATTGACTGGGATTGGGTTTTTCGATGCCTAAATTTTTATTCGTCAAAAAGTCGAAATGCTGAATCGATGATATCGTCTGCATTACATCGTCGGGATTTATCTCACTGGTTGAACTGGAAAATTTCAATTGGATTAATTTTTGGAGGCAATTCTTCATTTTTTTTATTTATTTAGAACAATTGCAAATTTTTGAACTATTTTTTTTAGCATTTACGTCTTTTAAATTTCATTTCAATTTCTTTTTTAAACTTATCGAAATGATTCTAAAGTGTTGGAAATAAATCTGTAGAAATTTAGCGGAAAAAGGAAATTTAAAGAGAATTCAATTGTAAAAAAAAACATTTTTTCAAAGCAAAAATTCTGTTGTGGGAATTGATGCATATGTTGATGCAGGACATTCGATTGAAGAATAAAATTTTAAAATGAAGAAATCAATGAATTTCGATTTTAACAAAAATGAGTTCGAATTTTATTAATTCAAACAATTTAATAATTCAGAATTTAAAAAAATGATCCATAAATCGAATCTAATTCATACCTTTGTGAATTCGTCGTTCGTTGTTTATTACCGCTACATTTGCGAAGGAGATCTTCGAGAAAGGATCTGAGCACAGTGGCAAAAGCAAGCTCAGCACTTCGATGCAAAACGCCTAAATTCGGGAGAGATTGAATTTTAATTAGATTTTTTTGCTTAATCTCGTGGTTTTTCACACATCATATTAAAAATGCTATGTTTTGTTTTCGTTTGAATTAGACCAAATGGATAAATAAATTTGGACGATTAAAAATCAAAATATTACTCAATAAAAAAAAAACTTTGACTCTGTGTCAATACAAAAAACTGCATCCAGTAAGGAATGGAAAGTGTGAAATAGCAACCAATTGGATTGGCTGAGGCTGATTTATAAATTAGATTATAGTCAAAAAATTGTACATTAGCCGAAGACTCACCTTCAACAATTTCTTCTTGCCCGAATCGAATTTGCGTTCTCCGGCACACCTCATTAATCCACATCACTTCGTTGTGACACTGATTGGGTAATTGCAAGCAATTCTTCTGAATTTTCAATGGACTCGTGTTTTTTTTCAATGGTTCTTCCTCATCATCGTCATCCACAACGACGACTTTATCATCCATTGACCTCAGCAAATCTTTTGTCACATTTTCTTCCACATCATCGATCCACTTTGTCAATTTCTTATTGAAGCTAATGATATCGTTTTGCAAATGCTCTCGAATCAACTCAGACTTGACCATTTCTCGAACATTTTGTTCCGGCTCTTCTGTTTTAATCGAAGGTTTGTGAACAACTGATTGTGGCGTATATCCAAACCAACGACCGAATAAAACAATGTCCTTTGTACTCCATTTTGGGTGAATTTTTAGCGATTCATGTTTCAAAACCAGACGGCTGATGTGTTTTGCTCGTAGCCACTGAAAGAAAGCGAAAAACGAAGAGAAAATTAAAAAAATAATTAAAAAGGTTGAAAAAATTAAAAATTTGCTATAAAAATCGAATTTCCGTCAAGAAATAAATGGAAACGAATTATTATTTCATATTCTCACCTCAAAACTCCTCTGCTTCGGAATGAGCAGACTGTGAAAATCGGCCAGACTCGGCACGACAAATGGAAATGACTCTCTAAACTCTGGTTGTTTTGCCATTGTTGAAAACAGCGGTATTTTCTTCAGCAGCCATCCAATGGCTTCGGTCATATTTGTGAATGATTTGCATGCCAAAAACCGTTGTTCCAATTCTTCGTCGTACCTATGATGGACTTGGTTGTTTGTGTGAGATTTCGATTGAACATTCGATTCGAATTTCACATCGGCCGGTACAAAAACGGTGATATTCCTATTTTCCAATCCAGAAATATTGCTAACGGTGATCTTTTTGAGCTGATTTGCGTTGGTTGTCGCGGTAGTGATGGTGGTGCGTGGTTTTAACAGGCTCACCTGTGGTTTGAGAAGTGATTGCTGTTGATTTTTCGGTAATCGACTTGAATCCACCACTGAAATTTTGTTATTCTTCTGCATTATGCCGGTGATTGGGTTGAAATGGGTCTTTTGCATCGACGTTGGTCTTGGAGACGATGAAACCGATGTGATCCCTGGTTGTGGAACGACAATTTTCGGCGGTGGTATCGGTCGATTTAGAACGCTTGTCGATGGATGTGGTGAATTGATAGCCACTAGCTTTGGCATCGTTGGTAGCTGGTTCTTTGTCGGACTGGTGAGATTTCCCATCGAAATTCGGCGGTTCACTAGCTGAGCCGAGGTGTTAGCAATTGGATTATGAATGTTTGCCAAAGGCAGCTTAACTGGCGATAGAAACTTTTGACTCATCGAATTGCCTGGTGAAGACGTACTTGCTGAAGCAGATGTGTTCCCTGAAATGATCGATAAGGTATCAACAGATAAACTAGTTGAGTTTATTAAAGTGCTGCCACCACAGGCCCTACCGCATGCTATTTTACCTGATTGTCCGACAACATTCATCGTTGGTGCCATTGGCTTTATGAAATTCACCGCGGCGCCTGTCTGATTCACACTCTGCAAAACCATTTTATTCGCTTGAACGCCCGGTGGCAGAACCATTTTGAATAATTTCGGATTCTTTTCATCTCGCACCAACTCCATCAACGACACCTTGCCATCTTTACCCACACATTTGACAAATGTTTTCTTGGCGGTTCCTTTTATCGTTGCAGCAGGCACTGGCACTGCTACACGATTGCTACTTGGCAAATTCGAGACGTTGACATTGTTTTGATCACAGACTTTAAACTGAGGCACGGTAACTGGTTTGACCGGCTCAGTTTTTATATTCAATGGTGTTAACTGAGGTGGGATGTGTTGTGCAATCGGAAGACCATTCGGCCACAGTTCTTCATTGGTTACAATTTCCATTGGCTCTTGCTTTATTATCGGCGGATGTGTGGCTAATAACTCATGGTTTAGCAGCAGTGGCTCTTGTTTTATGACCATTGGAGGTTGACAGCTCTCAAGCAGTTGATGACTCGTTAGAGTTTGAGCGGATATAGTAGGAGATGGAGATGGAAACAAAGGTGGTTTGCACGGCAACGTAGACGCCTTGCATGGAGATAATTTTGAAGGTTTACATGGTGATTCATCACTTGAAGATGGTTGACTCAAACTTTTGCGTGAAGAAGATTGACTGGAACTTGCTTGATTCGAAGATATATTACTCGTTGATGGTTTGGCATTATCTTCAGCATTGACCGAATTTGGCACATTCAACCACAATTCAACTATTGTCTCAGCACCTGGAAAATGATGAAAAGCACATAAGAACATACGTTTGTATAAAAAAAAAGCATTTTTCACAGTTTTTGTGTGACTACTGAAGTTCTTCGATCTGATACTTTTGAATGAATTAGGCGAACATTTCCATTCTCTCGTTGAACTTAGCCCTTTCTCACTCACCCATTGTTTGCATTCCAGTGTGTTTCTTATCCAAAATCAATGTGTGAAAAATTTGCAGTGGTTTCTGATTCAGCGGCGCATGAAAATAAAGCTGAACTCGAACGGGAAACTCACCCCAACCACGCTTCGATATTTGGAACGGCGGTGAACTACAGAAGAAAAAAAACAAAATACATTTTTGAAATCAATTTTGTGCAAATAATTTGCCTTAATCACATTTGTTTGCTATCGTTTTTTTGTTTCAATTCAAAATTACCTGACGTCAACGATGTCATTCGGTTTGTAGGAATCGTGTAGAAAAAATCGAGCTCGGCTCACAATTTGTTCCACAGGCACTGAATTCTTTGTTAACACATAAATCAGCCATTTGTGCGTCACCTTTGTGGCCAGATCGGCCTCTTCATCTCCAATGTATTTGGATATATTGCCTGGAAACGAAAAAGATCGATTGGAATTTATATTTTTAGTAGAATAATTTGTTGGTTTTTTCTTTAAAATCAGGTATTAAAATTCGAATCGAATCAATTAATCTTTAAATTTCAGTTCGATGGCTCATATGAATATAATCAATCAATTAAAGTTCACATCAATAGCATTGACTCACCAACAACAAGTAAATGCCGATAGGTGTTCCGTCCTCGTGCTGAATTAACTTGTGGTATCGGTTCGTTCGATGTACTTGGAGCTACGTAACGTGGTTTTTTCTACAACAAAATATCAATAGTTGATCAATCAAAATCGAAGTAACCATCGCAAAACTAGCCATATTTGTATGCTAATATATCAATTTGTACGTTTTATGTTGCGAAAATTGAGCAAATTTGTAAAAGTTCTACGGGAAAACTGGATTTTTCTAACAAAAAATCTCCGAACAAAAATTGTGTCCAACAAAAAATCGATCCATCACACTTTTATTCTCCGTTCCAAACATGCATCATGTGTTCCTTGGTCGCTGTACAATTCTGTGTTTTTCAAACTTACATTCTGTTGGCTTTGTTCAGCCTCCTCCGGTATAACCGCTTCGCTCAACTTGATCCGTGTGTCGGTTGGTTTTTTGACCATTTTCTGGAATAGTTCGGTGGCATTTTGGGCTGCTTTTCTAGCCGGTCGTGTCTTAAGAATTTCATTGTAATCAATTGGTCGTTTGCCCAGCAATTTCTTGAGCGATGGATGAATGGCCATTTGTGGTTTATCACCGGGTGGTGGATAGTTTGTCATCGATTCTTGTTGGCTTTTTTCAACCGCTGCAATTTCTTCTGCCGAACAAATGAGACTCTTCTGATTGTAATAATGATAAACGACGGCATATCGAACTTTGGCCAGTAGTTTTTTGGTCTCATCAAGCCGCCTATTAATTTCCTCTAATTCATATTCTTTGCTGGTGAGCTCTTTTTGGAATTCCCTGTCAACAATCCGTCGAATCGCCTCGATTCGAGTTTCTGTTGGTTTTGCTTTTGCTTCGTACTTTGTTTCAACACTTTTTCTCGTGTCATTTTCACCGTGTGTACGAACCGGCTGAAATTGACCATAGTCCGGATCACAATACTCTCCACGTTTCTGTGACATATTCTCTGATTCACCCACTATTTCTATCTAAACAACGATTCACTTTGCCTTCGGCTAAGAAAATCAACAGCAACCAAACACAATTCAGTCATTGAAATGCAACGTTTAACGCAGAAGGGACAAATATGGACCGAAATTGTAAAACACTCGTTTGTTTTCGTCACGACAGCATGCTGTTTGCACTGTTGATACACAACTGACAGCTGTCATTCCATTCGAAACTGTCAAATTCCACATTCTGGAATTCCGATAATCACTTACTTCGAATAGGTAGTACTAGAAAGCTACGAGAAAGACAATAATTAATACAAAGTTCCACTTTATTGATGATTTCAATTAGTTTTAGTCGTTCCTTTTTTTTAATTATACAATATTTTAGTTACAATTATATCTACTGCAAGTGATTGGTAGTAAAAAGGTAGATTGATAGTAAAGTTGTGTCTTTTTGAGCATTTTTCAGTATCTATCTTGTTTTCTTGATCAATAAATTGTGACATTCAAGGCCATTGACCTCTTACAAATATTGGTAATTTTGTTGAAATTTTAACATTTTGCATATTTATCATTCGTTTTTGCGATTAATCTCTTAAAGTCTCTAGATAAAGTCTATTCCAAAGCAGAATTACAAAATTTCGATTTAAATGACAACAAAAAAACACGAAATTTGGATGCAAAAATGTGATTCAAGACTCAATGTTATCAAAATTTCTGGCATGATTTTCCTTTGCATTGTTTCAATTTGTCCAAATGCAGGCTGTAGGTCGACCGCTCTGATGGCAACATATCGAATCCAAGGTTGGTCAATTGGAACGGATCAGCAAATAAATCATACGCTTCAACGAACGACTGCGAACAAAGAAAGATCAATTTTAATTCACATTCATCATTCTTCATTTAAAACTCTAAATTTATATCAAAAAGTGGACATTTTGTTCTGATACACAAAGCTTCGAAGCCAAAATTGATTGCTTTGAATTTCAATTCAAAATATTAGTTCTGTGACAGAAATTCTGTCTAAAAAACGACACCTTAACAAAAAGAAGATCTTTCCAAAAACAAAAAAACAATTTTTTCTGATTAAAAAAAAGCAATTAATCTGAATTAAGTCCAACGAAAGAGGCAACTTTTCCATACAGCAACCCAAAACACTGGTTCCAAATCCCAAATTACCTCTCTATCAACAAATTCACAGTAAATTTTATCCAAATCGTGTGCAATATGACGAATACAGGCGTAGGTGTTATTCCAAGAGTCTTGACAATGGCATGCAGCGACTGGTGTGCATTGCTACAAATAGAATCATCACAGAATTGAAAACTTTCGAGATAAAAAGAATGAAAACCAAACGAGTGGTAGAACCTTTAAAACTCACATTCAATCGATCGCGTCGATTCCATGGGCACAATTCATTGTAGGTGTCTGTATTCCCTTCACCCCAATACTCGATCAACAGTTGCCGTTCGAATTTCGGTGATTCAACGGTGCTAGATATTTCATAGTCCGTATTTTGGCTGGTTGTTTCCACTTTATCCACCGAATTGCTCTCAAAATTGACCAACTCAGCGAATGATTGTCCATCCAAATCGTCGGGTTTCTCAATGCCAGCCCAATCCAAAATGGTTGGTGCCAAATCAATCAATGAAATTGGATGTTCAACAATATGCTTGGAATTTATCCCAGGACCAGTTACGATGAATGGCACACGAATATCAGTTTCATACGGTTGACGCTTGTCGAATGGCATGGCAAATTGTCCCAAGTGATAGCCATTATCCGATGTGAACACGATGTACGTATTGTCGTACAGATTCAATCGCTTCAGTTGAATGACCATATTTTCGATTAGCTCGTCAACGGCCAACAGAGTCTGCCATCGCTTACGGTAGAAAGTGTCGATAGTTTGAACAATGTCAGGAGTCAACGGTGTCGGTGGCATTCGCACTATCCAATGCTTGTCCAATTCATTCGATTCCACATTGAAATTTGGCGTTCGCAAAGCAGTCACATTACTAAAGAATGACTCATGACGCTTGGCCGGAGTAAATGGTGAATGTGGTGCAGGCGGCGCAACTATGGCCAAAAATGGATTGCCTGGCAGTTGTAGCGAGAGGAACTTTTCCAAACGGGAACGCTGGTTTTGAATAGGAGAGATTAGAATAATTTAATGTTTCAATTCACGCTAGGTTTAGAGTAATGGTTTGAAGATTTTCATGAAAAATTGGAAATTTTCAACAAAACCAAGTGGAAAGGCCATCATGACACTGTCATCTCACTCACCAAAACATCCGTTAAATACTCCTGCTCTTGATCACCAAACAGCTTTAGGACACCATTTTCATTAAGCGTATAATTGTAATACCTTGAGTTTCCATACAGGCCATACCAGTCGGTGTAACCAACCGGAACATTGATTGAGGTGTACTGTAAGAAATGAGGAAAAAATTAATGAAAAATAAACGGGGAATCGCAGAAAACTACATCAGAAAACAAATTTCTGAAACGTTTCGAAACTATTTTACTACAGCACATGGTATTGAACCCATTAATCCAGTCCATTATTCGCTATTTATCTTCGTCACAATTTGCCATTCAATTAAAATTGCAAAATGGTCATTCAATCCAAATGATGGATTTGATTAATGAGAACAAAATTGCATCTCTGATTGAAATTTCAAGAGTTACTAATCACTCTATTCCATTATTTCACTAAAACAATGTCTCTATTCGAGCGTTATTAAGTCGGTTAATGGTCGCGATGATTAATTTCAACGTTTTCTTAACACAAAACTAATCGTTATTCAGTTGTTTGATTAATGCATTAATTTGTAACTTTTTATTGCGTCAAAAATGCACACTAATGCTAAAAAAATGTAATATATTGAACGTTCTTCTCCGAAAATTACCGCATGGCGTAATTTCTATGACAGCAATGACATCAATATACGTCAAAGTGTCTGAAAAAATGAACAAATATCAATAACGTTATCAATTACCCGATTCATGTATTTTCCGGCGTAGAATGTGTTGTATCCATTTTGCTGTAGATGAACTGGGAACGTTTTCGGTTCAACGTGTTGTTTCCAATGTTCGCCATAGCAGCCACCTGATGCGGAATTATTTGTCGTTCGATGATTGTGTGCATATTGACCGGTCAATAGAGACGCTCGTGATGGGCAACAGATCGCTGACGAGGTGAACTGTTTCAAGAGAAAATCACGAGCAATGAAGTTATGAGAAAATGATACGCTTCAATTGTCAATACCGTCTCATCGAGTACTGAAATTCATGCTTTAATTCTCTTATTCATGGGCATGTTTTAGCAATCAAAAGTCAATGTAACGAGCTTACAAAAAAATGAATTTCGGGCTACTTGGAATGTAGCTATCAATTTGCGGTATCTAAAGAATTATTATAATCCGTTGAAATGGAAAAAAAGTCTACGAATTCCAATCGTTACTTTAGGCATTTTACTCGTCTTTCTCAAACAAAAATAAACATTGCGAATTAAATTGGGATTCAATACAACGTCTTTATCAATGAACAAAAGCGATGAAAAGTCCCGAAGAAACGGTTAGTTGAACAAAACAAACAAACAAACAAACAAACAAACAAAACGACCAATTGAACAAGCCAAACAAAAAAATTGATCAAAAATATCACTAAATAGTCAATTTTAAATTTTTCACGAATAAACAAAGCGATCGTCTGACATTTGCCCTTTTGAAACGTGCACAAACGTGTATCACGCACGAAATCCACAAGAATTCATTAATTATTTATTGATTTGATCAACATTGTGTCGCGATGTTACGAGAAAATTACACCTAACCCGCGAATTCAGCATTGGATCAGCACATCTAGGCTTCAATTCTGTATTCAATTAGGTTTTTTGACGTCTTTAATTGACAAAGCCGGAGAAAAAAGTCAAAAAATGAGATTAAAAAAAGAAGCAAAATGAATGACTCACTGCATTGATGAACGTAGCTCCTTTGCTAGCCAACAGCTTTTGTGTCCGTTGCATTGGTGTCTGTGAATGGGATTTAATGAAGTGAATTAATTGGTTTGATTTACAAAAAAAACAATTGAATTGGATATGATGCAAAATAAGATCCAATTAATGCTTATGATCACAATGCCCATTAGAATGAGCTAAAAATTCGGCAGAACAAAAATTGTTTTTTTGAAAAATGAACAATGTTCATGTTCATGAATTAAAGCGAGTTGCACATGAGATTCTACTTTTGGTCAGTCTTTCTATATGAGTGGTGGTGTTATCATGGAACATGGAATGGCAAGGCATTTGCAAAAAATACAAAACATTGCATTTTAGGCTAGTCACATACTGCATAGTGTGATGTCACTTACGGAACATCGATTGAACAAAATAAACTGAATAGAACAAATTCCAAATCAATCATCATCTCCTCCTCACTGAGACAAAAAAAACCACTTACCATTCCATTAAGCACGATGTCTTGATCGTCGGTCAAAACGATGATGACATTGGGTGGCGTTGAATGCGTTGCATCGCTGACCTTGAGCTGAAAAATGAGCAGCGTCAACCAAAAACGGCAAAAAAACGTGAAAAAAAGTCGAAAATAATCCATCATTTGTTGCACTCTCTCTCTGTTTATCACTCGGAGAATCCACTCGTTAAACTGAATTAAGGCAAAAGACTGTCACACGCAAATTGGTTGCAATGAAAATCATTCAATTGAAATTCATGAAGGCGTTCCGTGTGTGTGATAGCGGCAAAATATCAAACAAAACACTGAACAAGCGTAAATAAATAAGAAATCTCAACACACGAATTCGTTCGAGAAGCGTAAATGCTTTTATTGACACAAATCAACAATGATGTGTGTGGCAACGAACAACAACAATGACAACCGATTGGTTTGTATGTTGATGTCCATTTAAAATGACACCCAAACACTTAAACCTATATGTCAAACTAAATTCTATTCTATTGTTGCTATGTTGATGTATTGCATCGTCTCATTCTGTTGATGCTTCTCTCCCGCACGCTGCCTCCTCTCTTTCACTCCTCTATTCTTTATGTGGCTATTCTATTTTGGTTTGTTTTTGTTGTAACTTATCACTCTACTGATAACTACGCTGTAATAGCTGGCATCACTTCCATTCCAGTGAATTCTTGGGCGATTCGAACACCTGCGAACAATAAAAATACACACACATTTTTAAATGATCGATTTGGTTTGCCTTTTATTTATGCTAATTTAGATGGAATGAATCATACCTAAGAAAAACAAACCGAAACTTTTGACGAGAGCCCTGCAGAGAGACACAGAGAATAAAGAATTTTTTTTTAGGTTAGAATTCAAATTGGAAATAGTGGTTTTTTACATTTTTCAATGAATTTACGGCATGAATGACACTCACCATTGATACTCGTCATGATAAATTCGCTTGAACACCGAGATAATATTCAGTTTACCCTTTGATGTCATTTTTATTTGCGATTTTTTGAACTTATTCAAATAATTTGTACAATTTGTTACTCAAATGCTGCTGATAGTGTGAGACTCAGTTCATTTGACACTTGCTGTCGACCCATTTGCCTTTGACAACTTTGTCTAATCGACACGTTCCATTTTCCATTTCGAAATTCCAACTGCAGGGCCAGTGTGAACCATCGGAATTTGGGATTACGGTTTGTTATTTGTGATCAATGGTTTTTTGGTTGATTTTTGATATGGATTAGTAGTTGAAATAACAGAATAATTCATTTTAGTGACAAATTTTTTTCTTTCAAGGAGATAATCTTTATTTGAATATTTTGTTGAAGCAATTTTTTTTTAATAAAATAAATAATTCCATGGAAATTATTGCTTAAAGTAAAGGAAAATTTAAGCAAAAAAATACACTGGATCGAAGATGAACTGCATTCAGAAGAAGTCATAGATTGTTTTCCATTCACTTCATACCAGCTAAGAAGCCACAAATATCAAGAATTTTTTTTTACGGTTATTCAATTTCACAATTCGTCATTTTTGTATCAAAAACCGATTTTTCACTCAATTCAAAAAGAATTTTTTTTTTTCAATTTTAGTTCATTGAATCGACTGATGCATTGAATTGTACTCATGAGTCATGCCAATTTACCTCAATCAATATACAATTTTAATGGTATTTGATTAGTTATCGTTTACTTTCCCATTTTATCAATTTTATAGACTTGTTTTCTTACATTGTTTCTTATCCACAGACATATTCATCGTAGAATACATTGATTTTTATCAAGTTCTGAACATATAAACAGAATTACATTCATAATCAATGCTATTCTGCGAAATAGGTACATTTTTTAACGAATGAAACGTTCAATTTTGATATGATGAAAGTAAAGTCTGAGTTATCTTTACATTTATACGAAATGATTATGAACTTGGTCTGAACTTTGAACAAGATTGTTGGTACCGTTGAGATGCTTTTTTAAAAACTGTTATCAATATTTAGATAGGGCTTGTTTACGAGTTCTTTCAATATTTAACAATCATTCTACAGAGTTTCACTGACAGTCTTACCCTTGCCACCGACAAGCGACAATATTTCCTGTGTTATGCCGAGCATATAGGCACGCCCATTCAGCACGAAAGAAATCAAATCGAAATTGAATCGTTAAAGTATCCAATCTTCGTCGTTTTATTTGAAACTTTTGTGATCATTAGACATTTTAAAAAATTCAGTCATTGTGAAATTCATTTTGAAAAAAATTATTGGAAATGTCCTATACTTGGATATATGTGTTGGTCTTTGCGATCATAATAATTAACAATGTGCAGAGTCAGTGCAATTCAGAATTGTGCAACAACGTATGTAATGGGTTTGACATGAATGGCACCTGTAATGGAAACGAATGTGATTGTTATTCTGGCAAAAATTGTTCAGAGTTGGTCTGCGATGCTGCTTGCCACGTTTTCAAGCTCAACGGTGAATGCGATGACGATGATCAGTGTATTTGCAAAGCGGAGCTGGAACCTTGTGGAGCAGAAGAATGCCAAGAACAGTGTGAAGAAGATCCAAGAGCTAAAGAATGTGTTTTAGTAATTGCAGAAGCCTGCTTAGATTACGGTCCAGTTAGAACGTGCGTTTGTGAATGCATAGTTTGGCAAAACAAACCGAACAAGCGATTCAACATTGTTCATAAGAAAAAAATCAATCATTTTGTTCCGAGTGTAGTATATGTCCCATGATTATAAATAAATGTATATATGAAACGTATTATAATGCATATCGCTCTGTACGATGGCATTGTTGGCCCTTGCAATTCGATTTTTTTGTCATTAATAACGTCGTGATAATTACCGACAGTCATTTGTACACGGAAAACATTTCAGAAAATTGCCAAATAAATATATATATGTTTATAATGAATTTCAAAATAGTTTGTTGTTATTGAAGAATTTTTGATTTCTGTAGGAATTTCTTTTTCCAAGCCAAGCAACGGGGCTACGAATTAAAACACAAAATCCCTTTTCATTTTCACACCTATCATTAACCAATAATTTAATTTCTCGCCTAAAACTATGGTTTTTTGTGCGTATGTTAAATGTCATTCGATTTTAAGCTTAAGCTAAAAATTTGTATCATCTCCCAATATGTGATAATTTGAAATTATTAAGAAAAAATTCAATTCAATAGTTTCTTAGCTCGAAGTAGTCCGAATTTACTGAATATCTCATCGGTGTAGCATGCCGACTGCGATTTGCGGATCAAATCTGAAAAAAAGTGAAAGAAAAATACAGTTTTTTCAATTTTTTGCCGGAAAATGGATTTTTCAGAGGGAAAAATACCAATTTGAAAAAATGTGTTCAAGCATTTTAAACATATTTTTCCAGGCACATTGTCTGATTTTTTGTCTGTTGAGTGTTTCTATAAAAATGTCGATGACAAGGTAATGATCTAGAATTGTTTTTTCTTTAGAAGAACTGAGATGAACAATTCGGTCATTCAATGAGTGACTCGTTCATTGTGAGTGGTTCTATCGTTTTACTCATTCTGACTGATTTTCACTCAGTGGAACTACTTTTTTTTTTCACTCGCATGAAAAGTCAATTCTCCATTGAATCACGAGCTCATATGAAAATTTAAATATTCAAGTGAATTTTTTCAAAATATTTCTTGATGCTAATTTTTCTCTTCAATAAAATTTTGTATATCGATTTGCTTCCTTCAATAATGTTATTTTCCATACCTGATAATGGAACTGAGCGTTCCAGCGCTGCAGTGGATGATATAATTGAATTATATCTCATGAATAGCTTTTGCACCCATGGATGCAATTTTAGTTCTTCCAGATTGGTTTCGTCATTTTGACATGGTTTCTTGAGAAATGACATGAAATCCATCTGTATCATTGTTTCATCGGTCGTCTCCTCATTTAACGAGGTGTCAAAACTGAACTTGAACTTTTTCTCCGGTGGTTTTTGCTCTATTGATAGAAAAATAAAGAAAAAAATGAAAAATTTTACCAAAAAATCTGTTGAAATTATGAAACAACTGCAACAATTCGAAAAAAATTATTTAAAAAAATTTACACCCATTTACCATCTCTAGCTGAAGTTCCTTGTACTTCATTTTCCTTTTTCGTATCGCCATCATATTTTTTAGCTGCTTTAACGAGTAAGTCCAATATTTGATTGGTGTTTGTCGGCGTTTTCAGGTCTCCTTTTAACCATCGCATCTTAAAAAACGGATGTGTACAGGTGGCTATGATAGCCGGTGCACTTTTCTCGCTGCTAAAATCGAATAAATGGTCAAAGTGTTGGTCGACTCCATTCAAAATAGCTGCCAAAAGTGGTTGACACAACTGAATCTGCCCTCGGTTATTCACATCCATCAGATTGTCCTTCATGCTGTAAACCATTGGCAATAGCGTTGCATAATAGCAATTATTTTTCTGCAAGTACTCAATGGCCGTTGCAATTGGTTCCAAAATGATGGCATATTCTTTCAAAAAATCAATGTCCACTTGGGTCAATGCGAGAGTTTCGATCTCGGTCAGAATTTCATTTAAGCTTTGATGGTCACACGTTACTAAATTCGAAACGTTGTTATAAATTTCAATGACTTTTGACCCGATCGACGGATGATTGAATATTGCATTTAAAATCGATGCAGATTTTTCGGATACACTCTGACCTTTGGCATGTTCAACTAATGCATTGAATTTAGTGAAGGCTGAACTGTGAATCGCAGCGTATTGCTCGTCATTTAGTGCCTTGTGAGATCCTTCCAGACCAATCAATTCGAATAAATGTGTTGGACTTTTTATATGCATCGACAAACCATTAATTTGCAAATATTTCACTTCATTCCCAGCGGCATCCGTTTCATATTGCGGATTATTGTTTGTGACCGAAGCAACAATTTTATTACTGAGGTCATATTCACAGTAAATTTTCTGCAGCCGCTCAAAAAGAGATTGAGTTGTTTCGGAACCGTTGAATATTTCACAACCAATCACATTCGACACTCGTTGAAAATCCTTCGAATCAATCCAATTTACTATGACCGACATAAAGGTCTTCTGACGCACCGTCCAAACATCAATCGCTGTTGATACACTCGACACGGCTTTTAGCGATGCTATTAAATATTCTCTTTTCACAGAAAGGCGCTCATCAATTTCTCCAACTAGTACCGATGGCGAGATTATTTGGTACGGTTTTGTCGACGACTCTGCTGTTGTGCGTTGTGATGCAATGTCTAGTTGAGCAAGGAGAAATATGATTGATTGGTTTAGAAAAAAAAGCAGAACAAATTCAAAAGTTGAAAACAAAGATAATTTGTGCATTGAATCAAATTGACAAACCATTAAGTAGCGTTGAAAATGATGGATCTGTGAGTAAATTGGGCGAGTGCATGCCACTGATCATGAAATTTAATACAATTCGATCGAAGTCTTTTTGATTAAATTTGGACGCCTGGTTAGCTTGACTTTCATTGCGATCGTGATGATTCGACGATTTTTCATCTGCTTTCATGGCCAAAAATCGCTCGTAGTCTTTAGGATGCATTCGCTGCGTGGGAAAAAAAAATTATTTCATACAAATTGACTTTTCAAGTTTTTTGATTTATTGTTTGAAAAACTCACGCTTAAATGTTTGATAAAATTCGAGCTAGACCACATGTGGCCACTGTAAACATTGCCATGTCTACAGTTCAAGCACTCTGCTCTCACTGAAACGCCGTCTCTTTTAAGAAACCGGAAAAATCCACCGCGAAACAGTAGCGGTGGCCTTCTGCTGTCATGGTACATTCTACTGTCACTGTACTCATTCGATTCGTCATTACTGTCTCCACCGTACATGGCATCGTTGTTCGAACCCGACTCGTAAATCTCTGGAAAATGTATTTTTTGTTATTGTTATAATTCCAATTGTTTTGAATGGAAATTTTTTTTCTTATGATCGGCAATTTTAGATGCACAATTGCACATTGTGCCCATATCATTTATAAATGCAAAAACCAGATTTTTTTCATAACTCAAAAAAGAAGAAGAAAAAAAACCCGAAAATGAACAACTCACCGGTCCACTTTGGTGGAATTGTCTTGGTTGTTGACGAAGCTGCTGTCTCGGCATGTGGCTGATGATTATCCAAATTCTCATAAAAGTCTGACGATTCAAAACTGTCCCAAGTTTCACCGGGCATTTCATCCTGATTCACGTCAACAAACTCCAAATCTTCACCTTTTGATCGATAAAAAAAGACATTTTTCAAGTGTCAACTTAGAAAATATAATTTAAATGTTCATGTAGATTTTTTTTTCATTTTTATCGGTAATAAATGATTAAATCATTTGATTTAATTACGGAAAATGAAAAAAAAAAAATTGTATGAGTCAAATATCTTCTAATGTTGGCTTGAAGAGACGAAATAAATGGGAAAATATAATTTGGAAAAAATGAATGAATAACATAAATTTAATAGGCATTAGCAGTTGGCACTTTTTTTTTGTAAAACATCGAAGAATTCTTTACTTATTAGCTATAGCCGTATAACCCGTACACAATTTTCGCCAGAAATAAATCATAATTAAAATGCTTACTTTTAATCGTTGACACAACAGACTGTTGTAGATCCATATCGGGCAGTGTTGGCTGGGTTAAAATCGGTTGAAACATTGGCAGCAGCTCTGTTTGTTGTGCATATGGTCTTTTCAAAGACGTATATCTTTCGTATTCCAGAGGATGCATGCGCTGAGTAGAAAAATAATTTTAAAAAACTGTAAACTATTTGGTACATATCCAGTGAATGAACAGTATAAAATCGATATATCTTTGGGTATAACTTGGTAGAAGAAAAAAAAAAAGTAATGCGAAAATTCCAAAAAAATTTTTTTCAATAAATTTATGAATTTTAAACATAATTTTTTTTGTAAGCAAATTTTTAATGCAATCCGCTATTTTATAAAGACCCAGAAAAACACTCGCGACAAAAATTTGGACTTTTTGGATCAATTCGAAAAAATTTGTTTTTCAGCGCTTTCATAATAATGTTTTCATCGTTCATTTTATTTTAAAAATAAATCTCAATTGTGCCCGTGCAAATCTGTTGCAACTGTAATACAAAACAGCTGTGATTATCACCGTCGCAAAAAGTCTATTTTTATCAATTGCAAAGCTTGATTTTGCCTAGGGGGATTTAACTACGTGAAAACTTGTAAAAAAATGATATAA